TCCGGCTGGGCTCGCCACGACCCCCGCCACCCAACTGCGGCTCCTTTCTGGGAAACCCAAGGGGGCGGTCAGGAGGAAGCGCACCCCTCTCCACGTCACGGGCGCCGCCATCCATCCCTGGCCCAGCGTGAGAGTCCTCCTGGGCGGATCCGGCCCTGCTCGCAACTCTGCGGGGCGGGGAGAGCAACAGCCCCCCCATCCCGCCGGGGTCCCGGAGGGCCTGGGGTGCTTAAGAGCAGCGTGGAAAGCGAGGGCCCCGCTTCCCCAGGCCGAAGTTCGGGGTCGTTTCTTTGGGGGCGGAGCTAGGTCAGCCGGGCCCAGAGACAGTGGGCGTGGCCAGCCCGAGACAGGGCACTATTCTAAGAGGGCGGGGCCACTCGGAAGAATGCGCGGAGTTTCCCAAGGGGGCGGGGCCTGTGGGGAAAGAGGTAAGACCTAAAGGGGCGTGGCTAGCGGTAAAAGAACGTTCTAAGGGGGCGGGTCGAGAACGAGGGGCGGGGTGGGAGCCTAGGGGTCGGCGGGAAGGGAGGGGTTCGGCGCTGCACAGCCTCAGGCTTCTACCTGGTGTCAACCCTTAGACGCCCCGCGGGTCCGGTCCAGGTGAGTGGGGAGGGGCCCCGGCAGATCTGCAGTAGGAAGGGGGTCCTCTCTTTCCAGGTGGGGCCACCGACTCACAGGTGGAACCCAGGGGTCTGTCTATGCGCATACGCGGACAAGGAAGCGGTTGTGAATGAGTGAGTGAGTGGGTGGGTCGCTGTGCGTCACGCGTGTCCGTCCGTGTCCCTGGACATACCTGGGCATGCTCCTCCACGTGTGTATCCCGTGCAACACAGAAAACCTCTCTGCTTCCGTTTGGCCCGAACCAGCTTTTAAAACCACAAATCTGATCGTGCCCTCTCCTCACTTTGCGGAGATTCAAAATCCAGATCCGCCCGTGGGGTGGCGTGGTTGATCTCACTGTCCTCACCTCTGCTCTTGGCCAGTTGCATTCCAGCCACACTGGCCTCGGACAAGCCATGATAGAACCTGTAAAAAGCAAGCTTGACCTCACCTCCAGGCCTTTGCATAGCCGGTACCTGCATCCCGAACTACAAATCTTAGCCTGCCTGCCTGTGTAGCTAGGTCTCCGCATCTGGGGAGGACCTCGCTGTCTTCGCCTTCTTTGTCCCCTCTCCCTGTTTTATCACTTTCTTCGGTTACATTCGTTTTGTGCATGGGACCTCACCAGATTGGTGCTCTGGAGGGTGGGGCAGTCCCTGTATCTCCCAGGTCTAGAACCTGGTACTTAAGTGCCCAACCAATCACCGTTTGCCCAATGTCAGGGCGAGTCCTGGCGTCCATCTGCGTCCGTGCTGTCTGTGTGCTGGTGGCTGTGTGTGCACATGAGCACATGTATGAAAGGTCCATGGGAAAGGCATATGATGAAAAAAGCATAGATCGCAAAATCGTTTGCACCAAAATAAACTCATACGCCCATTCTATTTTCTCATGATTTTTTTTTTTTTTTGGAGAGGTTTTTGCTAAAGGGCACATGCACTCACCAGAAAGACAGAGAGACAGAAAGTGAGAAATCACCCCCCCCGGGGGGGGTGGCCACGCCACAATCCCTTCTCCTCCATTCTCCCCTTGGGATCTTGGGCACACATGCACATGCGCCTGGCATGAGTTTAAGCCACCAGGTCGGGGACTCGAACCGTGGTCAGCTACATGGGAGTCCTGCGACAGAGCCATTACATCTACTGCTGGTCTCAGCTTATGAACTTTTTGAAACTATGTTTAAATAATTATCTTGTTTGTTTTATTTTAATTTAGCCAGAGAGAGAGAGACAGAGAGAGAATGGGAAAGTGAGAAAGCAAGCTGCCAGGAGGAATCCAGTACAAGAGTCCTTAACCACCATGCTTACCTGCCGGCCCACTCTCATGAACTTTTCCAAGTCCCCTGGCTACGTTGGAACAGAAGCATAAACAATCCCCTCTCTCTTTCCCCCACCGGTGGCCCGACCCCATTCTCTGTTCTAATTCTGTC